AAAGTACAGTACGAAGAGAGAGAACGCTAACCTTGCTCGACGGGACTTCTGGCGTGGAGGACAGGAAGGCGGGTGGGGAGGCGGTTATTGCTTGGAGGGAGAGGCCCCCCCCCTACAGGAAGCCTTGACCACGTGTCACGGCAGGGAAAATGGCCGCGGGTCCTGTTTGTCACCCAATCCGGCGTTCACGAACAGAAGCAAAATTTTGCGAACGGTGCTGTTCGTGACCCAAGGTACCACTGTATCTTGCTAAGCATTACTCTTAATAATCTTTCTCTCTTGTTTTTGTCACACAATAAACCCTTCTAATCACTCTGGATTATTACTTCTGGGGACTGAGGGGAACGTACCTCTATTGTTCCTATTGGAGCTCTTATTGATGTTTGATACCAAAGTGTTTCTTAAAGTATGGTCCGAGGACACCTGGGATTCCCAAGACCCTCTCAGGAGTCCGCAAAATCAAAATTATTTGCCAGATATTAAATACATTTGCAAAAATTTTAAACGTCATTCTTCTCATTATTTTTTTGTTAAAAAATACAGGGTTTTTTTCATGAAAAATATTTTGCTATTATCTAATGGGTTTAATAGTTATTTTTACATTATTCAATAAATATTCTATGAATGCATCAATTTTAATTTTTAATATGGTAAATATTGATAAATATAGTCCATACAAATAAAAGTTCTTTTGGAGTCCTCCATAAATTTTAAAAGTGGGAAGGGATCCTGAGAGCAAAAAAGTTTAAGAAACACTGCCACAGACTGTTATATTCTTCTGGACTGCTGTGAGGTTTGGGGATGGGAGGCATCATATTATGGTACTTCCTTTTTTTCCTGACTGAATAAAACAGTTGGCATACATGAGGGAACAGTAATCAAGCCCCAGACTCCTCCAGTGTGTGGTACCCTAGAGCTTGTCTATCTTCTCTATGCTATTCATCATCTACATCAGTTTTTTTCAAACTTGGCAACTTTAAGATGTGTGGACTGGCTGGGGAATTCTGGGAGTTGAAGTTCACACTTCTTAAAGTTGCCATGTTTAAAAAGCACTGATCTACATGAAACCGTTGGGAGAAGTCTCCTTTTGGTTTGGGTAAGATAAAATCAGCATGCTGATATACTCATTATATAAGTGATGTATATGATGCACACATGTGTATGATCACATACATCAGATGTATATGATGATATACATCATCACATGGCCTACAGATACTATGGAGGTATTGTGCCTAAAGGCTGTGAGGGGCTGGATAGGTCAAAACAAACTCAAAGTAAATCCTTGCCAGGTAAGAAGTGTTGTTTATAGGCAATCAATCAGGCTTGATTTTGATCCAAAGCTGGCTCTAGACAGGTCATTGTCTCCTTGAAAGGGCTGGTAAGCGACTTGGGGTTCTCTTGGATTTGCAGCTATGGATCAAGTAGCAGGCAGATGTTATGATTTTGAGGGCCTTTGCCCAGCTTGGGCTAGAATCCCAGATGCTGCCCTTTCTGGATCAGGATGCTCACACAACGACTCATGCCCTCCTCACAAGGGAGCAGACTACTACAATGTGCTTTATACATGGCTGCCTTTGACAACAATCACAGTGGGAGTTGGCTGAGTAATATTTCACCTATGCTGACATTGCTGCACTGGTTACCAGTAAGTTTCTAGGCCTAATTCAAACTGGTTTTAGCCTTTAATGGGTTGGTAGTTGTGTACTTTAGGGTTATGTCTCCTGACCAGAATCAGATACCTACCTCTTGTGAGGTAAAAGGACTAGAGGTTTGAAGACATGCCACTTCAGTGACAGCCGCCACATTATGAGATACAAGGAGTTCCCATCTTACTTGTATCCTGCAAACCTGTTAAGATCGTCCTATCCTGATGACTTTTGATGTGGATACTGGAAGGGGCTGAATTTGTAATATAACTGCATTATATTGTTATGTTTTGAGTTTTATTTTTCTTCTATGTAAATCACCTTGAATTATCTTAAGTACAAATGCATAGCAGTGTTTTTATAAACAAATATAAATACATTTAAAACTCTTTCTTGCTCAGTAATTTACACAGCCAAATAATCATTGCAATTTAAGTTCAAGAATTTAAAAAATTAACCATTATTTCTAGGTGTCTTGCTTCTTTCTTTTTAGAAGAAAAAGCAAATGTTGGAGAATTAACTAAAGAACCTTTGACAAGCATTTTATGTATTTAAACATATTGTATTTGGGAGTTTTTATTTAACAAAATTCTGCAAATATTCTATTTTTTTTCAACTCTTGAACTCCATCAAAACCCATGAGATTTATTTTCCATATCTAGTTGAAGCATTGTTTTATGTATAACTATTCTCATTTCCCAAAATATTACAATGTCTATATTAAAGCATGATCCTATGAACGTTAACAAAACCATTAGTGAGGTTTCTGGCTTTTAAAATTGACTTGTCTGCTAAAAGCCGCCCAGAGTCACCCATTGGGGGAGATGGGCGGCATACAAATTTGAAAAAATAAATAAATAAATAAATAAAATGTCTTAAGTAGTAAGTGCCATGTTTATTTTTTATTGATATATTTTAATTTATTTTAACTATTTTACTTTGTATATTACTATCATAAGCAAATTAAAGCAGCTTAAAGTAATATTTATGATTCTATGTTCACATCTAACTGAAACTGGGAGAAACTAACCAAAGGATATGTAGCAAGCTTTACAGAACCTCTTCATAAGGAGAAATTTTAACCACTATCTCCAAAGTCCTACTCCAACATTCCTAATCACTGTACCATCCTTCTCTCAGTATCTTATACTGAATATATGATCTAGCTTACTAACAAAACAAGGTATCAGCTTCCTCTCTTGGTTAGAGAGGTTTCTGACTTGTTTTCTAAGCTGTGTATTCTTTGAAAAAAGTTAAGATTGTCAATAAAGTAGTAGGGACTGTTTCTATCTACACTGTTATTGGCCACCCTCAAGACAAAGGGAGAGAAGAAGGAGTGATAGGTGAGTTAAAAGCACTAGTTATTTAAGCACATGCTCAGAGACAGATGCTGCTGTTGGGTCATTAACTCACCTAGATCGGACAGTTGCTCCATCTGCATTCAGAAGCTGAACTGCTGAAGTCAAACTTAAAACTGATAAAAAGTTCCTGGTAGGTAATTTGACTGTTTTTTTTTTTAATTCTTTGCAAAGGAATTGTGTACATTCATTATTATGCTGTACTCTCTTTTGAAGTTGGGGCAGCCATTAAGCAAATGCAAAGTTGAGTATTACAGACTTTGCATATTACACTAATATTAACAAACGTTGATAAGGTTTTTGGTATAAAATGTAAATAAGTTGTTTTTATCAGCTTGTTGTGTTTTGGTGTGCATACTCTTATATTGAGCTTTAACGTTCTACTAATATAAAATATTAGAAGTTAACATTCTACTAATATAAAATATTAGAAGAAAACAGAACGTTTATATTGCTAATATAAAAACTATGTCAGTTCCTTGCTGAAAAGGATGTAATCTAAAAAATTATTAAAATTTTTATTTTCCAAAACATAATCTTTTTTTATTGGTTAAGTAAAACATGCAAGCAAAAAAGGCAAAAACAAAAAACCAAAGATACATATACATACTTAAAGGATTTTGAAAAAAAAATTAAAAAGCAAAACAAGCAAAAAAGAATAAATAAAAAACATTATAAAAAGGCATCTTGCTTGCTCTTTTAGAAATAACCTCACTACATTTATGTTGTTGGAGATGCAGTGAAATTAATGCTTTATTTTTGACCAAAAAAAATGGACTTAAAATCAAAAGGCTTACTGTTCAGCATCAGAAAGACAAACATATGGCTCCAACTATTCAGTGGTTTGCAGAATTAATACAGATCAACTATAGATGACTATAATGAATCATGACATTAATTTATTGATGTATGTCTATAAATATATGTCTTGTATGTGTTTTGTTTGTTCAGCTTCCCCCCTATAACTTTGTGTATTCTTTTTCTTTGCTTTTTGCATTTAGTTAATTAAAAACAAGAAAAAATATGTCAGCTTAGCTTTTTTCAGCTTGAAATTGACTATTGCTGGCAGACTGCCAAATGTAGAAGCAGGTACTGTGCTTATATATTAGAAAACAGAAAAATTTCCAGTCAACTGTCAAAATGTATTTTTTGCTGCTGTTATTATTTGTAGATTGTTTTAACGTGGATAAAATTATATCTTATTTTTATAGGCTTCTCTGGTTGGAGGAAAATGCATTTAAACTGTTATTTTATTTCTTACAAGAATTGAAAAGAAAACTAAAGTCACCCCCTTGGCTTCTTTTTTTATAGACTGGATAAGTAGCAATAAGTGTATTTCCTATGTTTCCTATGTGCAGACATAGCATGAAAAACATGGAAGCAAGCTTTGTTTTGAATTCCTATTTTCCTTAAGCAGAATACCCAAAATGTTTTGACTTTTGTTCCATTCAGAATTTTCAATTATTCTTTTGAGTGTTGCATCAGAGGTTGATAATACAGTGGTACCTCTACTTACGAACGCCCCTACTTACGAATTTTTCTAGATATGACCAGCTCCGGCCCCAAAAATTTACCTCTACTTACGAACTCGCCTCGACTTACGAACTGGATCCACGGCCATTTTTCCACCCATGCCACGTGGTCCACGGCCATTTTCTGCCCGTCCCACGTGGTCCGTGGCCATTTCCCACCCATTCCACGTGGTCCACGGCCATTTTCCCGCCCGTTCGTGATCCGCGGCCATTTTCCGCCCGTTCCACGTGGTCCACGGCCATTTTTCCACCCATGCCACGTGGTCCCCGGCCATTTTCCCGCCCGTTCGTGATCCGCGGCCATTTTCCGCCCGTTCCACGTGGTCCACGGCCATTTTTCCACCCATGCCACGTGGTCCCCGGCCATTTTCCCGCCCGTTCGTGATCCGCGGCCATTTTCCGCCCGTTCCACGTGGTCCACGGCCATTTTTCCGCCCGACACGTGGTCCGCGGCCACTTTTCCGCCCTGCCGCGTGGTCAGTGGCCATTTTTCCGCCCCTGACACGTGGTCCGCGGACGCCGGAGCGGATTAACGGTAATTACATTGAACCTTATGGGAAAATTTACTTCGACTTGCGACCAACTCGACTTGCGATCAGAGTCACGGAACGGATTAAGTTCGTAAGTAGAGGTACCACTGTATATAATAATAATTTCACAATGCAGTTCCCTTCAGACAAGTTTGCCGTGCTGGCTGAAGATAATGGGACCTGTAGCCCAACTCATGCTGAGGGTATAAATTGGGAAGACTAGCTTAGATGCATACACAGGCACAGTAATTTTTCTCCATTTCATAAGAATGTAACTTAAGAGGAATAGCGGAACAATGCTATAAAATGCATAAAATAATACTCAGAAAATAAAGATTCTGTATATGCCATATAGACTACTGTTATAGTAAACTTAATATCCATGTATATTTGCTAGCCTTTAGAATTCCAGTGCTGTCTAATTACATGTGGTTACTACAAAAATTGTGTTATCCTTCCTCATATTTCTAAAATTTTATTATTTGCAATTCAACAACCTGACTTTTTGGAAGGGTTGCCATAGCATGCTAAACCATGGTTTACTGAACCATATTTTAACCAGACCACAACTGGGTAGATTCCACAGCATGCTAAATCTTAAATCATGACTTACACACCAGAATGGCTAGATACAGTTAATTCACAATGCCCAATCCAAACAAATTCTATTATAATTTAGAATGTCGTATGAACCAGGCCTCACTTTCTAGTACTGAACGTATTCATAAATTAACTTGTGTAAGGTTCCAATGTCATATTCAGTTACTTGAGAGCAATCTCTACTGAACCAACTAGAGCTGGTTTATCCTTTTGCACATGTACTGGGAATAAATTATACTAAACAGAGTGAATTTCCTTATGAATAAGGCACATTGAATTCTTAATAAAGACAGCCTAAAGAAATATTTAAACAAATAATATTGTTCTATAAATCCCTTGTGTAAGTGTAATTTATATGCTGTTATACCACTGTTACTATATTGAATGAATGTATAGTTCAATTTTCCCAAGCCTATAAAATTTTACATCTCAACAGCTGTTCAGAAATAATGCCAAACTATAGTTAAATGTTTGACAAATAACCTATTGTTCTAGTTACAGTCTCCATAGTTAGTATAATAAACTCTCAATTTAGCTGCCCTTGGTTTAGATGACTTAGATGCAATGGACAAAATCTGTCCATACACTGTATACATCTATACATGTGTAAAATCTTATTTGCCATTATTCACCTATGGCTTGTCATCAACGTATTTCACATTGTGTGGTATGATATGTCAAAGGTAAACAGGAAATATAGAAGTAAAGAACTTTTTAACACTAAACTGTAACATATTACATGTGAATGATGTATATTTACAAATGGAAAAAAATGAAAAAATGTAGATAACAGGACTGAGTAATATGAAATAGAACTACTCAAACATGTTTATGACATGAATTATTTTTACCAATCATTTCAACTGAAATTTCAAAATCTAACTGAATTTTGGTTTGTAAGAGATGCACAATAGATTTTGGCAAGGGACTACATATACTTCTGCCAAATTCAATGGATTCATACTTATTTTATAAACAATTTTTTTAACAAGTGGTTCTTCAATTAGTTTAAAAGTGTGTTTACATCCCTATACGTTAACACCATGAGTTGTTTTACTGGAATTTTCAGGCTGCCATGCGAAACACTCACAAAAGGGGGCTGGGGAAAGATGATGGATTTGAATTCTGTTTTAAGAGACTGTTAAATATATAAACATTTTGAAATAGTGCAATAAAATAAAGATGAGTACACTGAATAATTCTCCCTTTGAACCAGTCTTAAAATTTTCAGGTGGTTGCCCTACAAGTTTTTCTACTGGAAATCAATAATTGTTCTTAAATATCATTGTGTCTGCACCTTAGTTTCTTATAGCAACTATAATGAGAAGTGCTTTAAAAAAAAAACTCTTCCATATTATATCAAGCAGTCATTAATTTTCAGACTTAAAATATGAGAGAGAAGGAAAAGAAGACTTGCACCTTCTGAGTTTGTAACTTTTTACCCCTAACCAGGCAACGACTAAACCTAAACCTGAAAAAAAAAACCGTGCTCAATGTTTTCCAATATAAACCACATTCTAGAAAACAGGAACACGTTTTAGAAGCTATCAGAAACTGTCAAGTGAGCTGTAAATATATATAGGGAAAAAGCACATTTTAATAGATAGATCCGCTGGAACTTGCAGTACGTAACGAACCGTCAAAGGAAAAAAAAATCGACCTGGGCGAAGTGTGATCAGCATTACGCGGCAGTCATCAGAGACAGCCTTAGTTCGTGCTTGCTTTTATTGCGACTTATATGAAAAAAAAGATGTTCCCTGTCCCTATGGCCACACTCCTAAAGCAAACTTTGGCTAAAAGGGCAAGTGGCGCGATGCCAGAAGTACAAAAAGGCCTAATTTATGTTTAAAAAGCTCGTGGATAAATGGCCTCTTTCGCCCCTACTGATGGCTGGCAGGCAGTTCGCACTCCTCAAGCAAGGAAGCGGGGGAGTGGCTACAGTGTAAGTCTGGTGGCAGCCTAGGCCTCAGCCCCCGTCATTAAGCCCAGCCGGAGGCGATGCGAAGACGAAAAAGAAACGGGGGCGGCCTCGGTCCGAATATGAGCGGCCCCCAGAGGTTCACACTCACCATTCGCCCGCTTCAGGGCGTTCTCGGGCCGCTGGAAGTAGACCGGCATGATGGCGACGGCTTCTCCTCACGCGGCAACGAGCCCTAAGGAGCGCCCAGTCAGGCAGCAAGCGAGGACGGAAAGGGAGGGCATCACGTGACTCTCACGCAGGAACGTGCCCGGAAGAGAACCGATTAGGCGGCGCCTGTGGCCCCGAGTTAGGTGTGCGCATGTGCAGGAAGTTCAGGCAGTCGGCAGGAGTGGAGACTACCTCGAAAGCACCAAAAAAAAAAAACCAGGGGAGGGAGGAGGAGGAAAATGCGCGGGAAAGAATGGCGCATCGCTTGAGTTTTACCTTCATCTTCGGAAAGCGTTACTTCCTGTTTGGTGAATTTGGCTTCAGAATAACTGCCCTGGTGATTGTTTACTCGGAATTGTGTCTCTGCATTCCTTGGGCCCAGCCTTCTTAATAAAAGTTGCTTTGTGTTATCCAGAGACGACATGCCCGCCTTGGCCTAGGCCAGCGTCCATCTTCTGGGGCTACCATTTCCAGTTTTCCCCACCAGCATGGTCAGCGGTGAGGGCCGTGGTTCCTATTTAACAGACTGGAGCTTATTAGACCATGAAAAGCTGACTCAGAACTAGGAAGGCCCAAAGTGAAAGCTCTACTTCTCCATGAAAGTCACAAAGGCTGGATTCATACATTAAATCTGGTTTAGCCACTGAGGTGTGATGTATAAACGTAGCAATTATGGTTTGTAAAATAGGGTGATTGTTCAGTTAAACCATGGCTTTGTGTTATTTCTATAATAATTAAAGAAGGGTTGCTATTTTTAATTTACTTTTCTGTGTTAAGAGTTTCCTTTCCAGGACTGCACTCTACTACAAAAAAAGGGTCTTTCATCCATTACCATAATCTAATTTACAAGGTGGTTTAATGTATCTTGCTAAGCTACAATTTAACTACAGTCTATTGGCTAAATCCCAACTATCTGAATTTGCATAATACTAAATCAAAACAATCAGTTCATGGCTTACTGTGCTTGATGAACCCAGCCACAGTGTTATGAAAGGTATGGCTTATTTACCTTTGTGCTTGAATGTAAATAAAACTCTGAATAGGATTATAAATAAATCAGGGCCCTCAAATGTACAGAAAATACTCATATTCAACAAACGTAATCATGCCTCCTTCAAACTTGCCACTGAAAATCACAAATGCTGACGTACTTGGGCATGGGGGGGTGGAGTCAGATTACATGTGTATCATGGTTTTGTCCTACAAAGATAACATTTGTATCAAAAGCCACATCATTTGTGGCAATAGCATGATGGACATGTCATTTTGATTTGAGACCTGTAATGGATGCTTAAGACTAGATGCGAGGTCAATAACTATGTATTTTATGTTATATAAAATTTAAATATATTTAAATATTCTGTTTAGCCTGAACACCTAAGCAGGGCTGTGACTATCTGGGTTTCTTGATCATGGATGCAATCCTGATAATGCAAAGGATTTTAAAGATAAATATTGTGAAGAAACAGTATTTTTTATTGGGACTTATGGACAATGAATTAGAAAAGACTCATGGCAGCTGATTTTGTATATGCAGTAAGATTATTGTATGCTCAATAATGGAAGAACAATTAAATTCCCACAATGGAGAAATGGATTGTGAAAATGTTAGATGGCAAAGCTGACCTGTTTGGCCAGAAAAAAAACAAAAACTTTTCTGAAAGACTAGAAACCTTACATGGACTTTTTGCTGAAAGAAGAAAAAATGATTTATGGGTTCAAAGATTAAAAAAGATATGGATTAAGTGAGGAGTTGAAGGGATTGCATAACATCTAGAGGGAGGAAGGATTATAAGATGATCTGTTGAAGAGAAGGTCGGAAGTCATATTTCATAACTTTAGTTTATTTTCTTTTTTTCTTGCACCTTTTTCTTTTTTCTTTTTTTCTTTTTCTTTAGATTTGCTTTTACTTTATGTATAATTCTCAATAAATATAAATATTAAAAAAAAAGATCATGGATGCCATCCTATTCTAAATGCCCCTAGTACACAAAACAGATTTACTGTAAGACATCTTGTGATGACAACAGGAGATAAAACAAGGATTTGTGTTTATAGAAATAAAATTAATGATAATGGAACTTTATCTGAAATACACAGTGTAGAAATGTTTGGGGGTTTTTAACATGTGACACACTAAAAACTTTGTTTTTCACACCTCTGTAATGCACATGAAAAAGCAATTCTGTTTATCTTAAAAACTTCTATACCACAGAGTTAAAACATCTAAAATCAATAAACAATTAAAATAATTGTTTTATTCAACTCAAAGATTCTTGCAACATAAACATCTATCTTTAGAAAGATAACAGGAAAGTAATATAAGCTGTGATTTATCTAGCAAAACAAAATAAGGTCTCTGAAAGTTAGAAACATGACAGAAAAAGGTCTACTTTTAGAAACCAATTTGGCTGCTTATGATGAAATTCAAGTAGGACCTTATTTGCAGAGATTATCCTCCCAAGATACCTAGATCCTAAGACATTAAGGGGTTTAAAATCAAGTTCATCCGACTAGGCTCAGAAATAAGCTGGCTGAAAGCATATGTGAATGCCAATTCAAACCATATAGATAAGTGGCATGGACAGAATTTTTAATGGTGACTGGGGCACTGTCTTACCATGTTATCTGGGACTCTTCCTGGTCTGTGATCTCTGAGGAAAAATATAGGGTGTAGTCTTAGTTGTTGGTTGTCTTCTGCTACTTGCTGATTGGATTCCTGCCCCTTTCAGCTTGTAAAAGAAGCAGGGGTGGTAATCACCACTTCAGTCTGGGAAATTGTCATTGCAGGACAGAATGCTGCTGGGAGACCAAAGGTGGCTGTAGTGTGATCTCTCCTGAAGAACCCATCCCTGGACAGATTGGTCTCCAACCTTCCCTTTTGGGAGAAGGTTGTTGAAATGGTGGTATCGGATCAACTTTACAGCACCCTGTAAACCTTAAACCTTTTCAGTCAGGATTCAGACCCGCTTTAGGGAAGGAGACAGCACTGGTCATTCTCCTGGAGATCCTGAGTAGGGAACTGGATGGGGGAAATGTACCTCTCCTGGTCTTGCTAAATTTCTTGATGACTTTTGATATGATCAATCATGATATCCTTTTGGACTGCAGGATTGGGAGTCGGAGGTACTCTTTTGCAGTGGTTCTGCTCCTTCCTTAGCGGATGGTTCCAGTCTCTTGGTGGAAGAAATGTTGGCCTGGTGGCCACTGACTTGTGCCATAGGGGTTGGTCTTGTCTCCCCTCCTTTTCAACATTTATATGAAGCTGTTGGGAGGGGTTGACAATTTGGGGTGGTAAAAGTTACACCCCCCCCCCATACACATGTGAGCTGCATTCACTCCCAACCCAATAAGATGCTCCAGACTCATGGTTCCTGCTGGATCACTAGGTGGAAGCCATGGCCAGCCACTGGCCAGTGTGCCAATTGCAGCCTTAGCTGAGGCAGGAGGATGTGACAACAGTAACTCGTCCTCATCACTACCTGTATAGACTACTGTAATGCACTCTTCTTGTGACTGCCCTTGAAGAATATTGTAAACTGCAGTTCAAAATGCAGCGGCCCATGTACTTTCAGGCAGCCAATACTGGGAGGAAATAACACCAGGTTTCTGAGCCCTGCTTTGGTGGCCAATTGGTTCCTGGGTCTAATTAAGAGTTCTGCTTTTGACCCAGGAAGACCTTCATGGCTTTGCACTTGGATACCTTCAGGCCTTTCAATTAGATCTAGCAGGGAGAATCTGCTCCAAGTCCCACACTTTCAGGGGACTGAGGCAAGGACTCTGCTTTTCAGTGACAGCACTGATATTGTGGAAAAGCCTCCCTATGGGGATCAGGCTGGCTCCCTCTTTGCTGGTTTTCCACAAAGGTCTAAAAGACAGACCTTTTTGGGACAGCATTCCACTGATTTGAGTTGTTGCCAACTTTTATTCTCTATTTTTGTAGAGGAGTTGTATTTTTTATGTGAGCTGCCAAAATTCATTTTTTATTGTGGCAGCATACAAACATGAATAATAAATATATTAATTACTGCTAAGAAACAGCGTTTGCATAAATTGCAATGGCCAAACTGTTCCTAAAGATACATATTAGGGACATCATTTTGCTGTTAGATTAAATGAAAAAGAAGAAATACGAACTGCATTTGTAAGTATAAACCCCATCCCCCAGATGACTCCACCCAGAAGCTTCACCTAGAAGTTAAAAAATAAGAGAGTTTTGTATTGTGAGGAATCCCTGAGGTCCAATCTCATTACCAAGAACAAAAGATTTTTTAGAATCTCACTCTTGAACCTATTATTGAAATGAAACTAGGACACTCAGTTTTGCTCCAGCCCCTGACCCCCAGCATGGAAATACCAAGGGTAACCATGATCAGTAAAACCAAGGTATGTTGAGATCAAGAGCACTAAACCCATGTATACAATGTAATGCCTCTGTTGGAAGCCAGTATTCAGTCTGTCTGGCAATTCAAATCCCACTGGCAATGGATTTCAGCGTCTTAAGCT